AAAAAAAAAAAAAAAAAAAAAAATTAAGCGCTATAAGAATAGCATGTATGTTATTCTCTTTATATAAATTTGTATACGGAGATGTGTGATGCATGAAAGGATGGTTGCCAAAATATTAACAGTGGTTATTACAGCATGATGAGGTTTCAGGACAGTTTTACTTTCCTTCTGTCTATAACTTTTTTTTTTTTTTTTTTAATTAAAAAAAGTTCATTACTTATGTTGTCAGAAAAACTAAAGCCATTTTCATTATGGGGAAAATAAATAAGTGAATGAAAATCCCCAGTAACTTTCTTGTTAAATTAGATTTTAATTTAGAAAGAAACTTGAAATGTCATGAAAATACTTAGGCAACATTGAATCATCTCTTCATTTATTTAAACTTGATTTAAAACAATAAAATATTTAAGTACTTTTAAATTTTTCTTTCCAGTTTGCCACTTAGGTAATAAAATGTAGCAAACCTCAGCTATATTTGACTAAGATTTTGTTATTGAGAGAGAAACTTTTCACTGTGATTCAAAAGAACAAAATTTGTTAAAAGGTTTATTTTCTTTTCATATTTTTTATGAAATCCTTTAATTTTTTTCTTCAATGGCCCACAACCTCATATTCTGAGACCTGCCATTTCACAGTTTATTCCCTCATTCTGCTTCTTTAAATCTGACTGAACTTTGTGGTTATCAGCTTACTATAACAAAATTATTTTTAGAGCAGTTTGGCTCTCTACAGCCTCAACACAGAATTTACAATGTTTTTCATTATTTCCTTGTGAGTCCTTTCATATGTACGTGCAACTTCTTTTAAACAAATGAAAAGCTGTTTACAAAAGAAAAGCTAAGTCATAACTGTGAAAGGAACTCTACCTTTCACCTGGTAAAGTGGTATTAGAGGGAAAAGACAACAGTGAAAGCTCTATGAGAATCAACTGTGACTGATTAGACACAGAGAGATAGGGCACTGTTTCATACAGCTTCACCAAACACATACGTCACATTTTTCTCTTTTCTGACTCCTCTGGGCTTCTACATTCCAGCCCCTTGTCATTGTCGGCCCACGCAGTCTTTTTCTTCTTTCTCTGACTAAAACATCTTCATGGTCTTTTTGAGTATTTTGTTCCAGTAATTTTTCTTTTATTTCACAATCAGAGGCTTCTTGGTTTCTAGCTTTAATAAATATATTCTGTATTCAGTGACCAGGTTTTTGAAAAGCAAAAAGGATAGACCCAGCATAATTTCAGGAACATTCCATATTCCCTGACTGAGACACTTTAGTATGGAGCCCTGAATCCAGAGGGCTAAACAGCTTCATTTTTCCTCTGGCTAAAAGCCTCACTTTGTTATGGGTTGTAGGTAGGGCACTCATTTGCCCTTTGACCTAAACCAATTTTGCCTTTCTAGAGGCAATAAAATTCATGCTAATGTGACAGATGGGATCTTGCAATGCCTATCCAATAGGGAAATTATGAAACAACTATGTTTTAATAGCACTTTCCAACCCACTGCTGAAAGAGCTGTGGAAATCCAATGTTAGTTTTGTTTTTATGGCTACTATGACTTGTTTTGCTTCAATGATGCAACAGATAAGCAAACAATGGTTGCTTATGATCAAGATAAGATTTGAGATTTACATATGACAGTTTTAAAGAAGCAAAGAATTGTCTTCTGTCTTTCCTTAACAAAAATCTTACTCAATTGGCTATAATGACTGGGTATCAGCACAAATCAGAGAATGTGTTTTGATGTTTTAGAAAATTCCAGTTGCTCTTGAAGTTTCATTATTGACAAGGGCTATCAGGCTTTCCAAGAGGGTCTTATCTGCAAGCTGCAGCAGTTGCTGCATGAGCTGCCAAACAGGTTCAGTGGGATTACACAGCTGCCTTGGAGCTGGAGGCCAGCCTGGGTGAACTCCCAGCTTTCTCCTTTCAAGGTCTGCAGGCTTTGACCTGTAAATAGGTGCCTAAACAGTGTCTAATCTGTCACACAAATATGCCTTAGCAAAAGTGGTAATGTCCCTTATTACCTGGCTTAGCAACAATTCCAAGACTTATATTTAGAGAGGTACTTGTATAAATTGCTGTACTTGAAGCTATGCCTGGTATTTCTATAAAACTCTCTTAAGAGACGATGTAATGGTTTACATTTTATTTATAGCAAACTATGGAAACAAGGCATTTTCTATATAACCCCAGCTCTCAAGAGCAGTTCTAAAATAACAAACCAACACGTGCACTTTGAAGATATGCCCTTTAGGCTGAGCTCAATTGTCTGTTCTTGGAGGATTGTGCTTTACCCATTTGAGATGACTTTTCCCCTTTGCCTGCCATGATTTATGATCTTAATGCTTTCATTAAAAAACAGATTTCAATTTTTAGTTTTTTCTTGATAGTTGAGAAAACTGTTTTCAATTTATAAAAGTTAAAAAAAACAGCCTCCTTAAAATTAGTGTTGTGATCTTTGACATTCACAGTTGAAAAGTAAATTCCTAGCTAAGATTTGCTGTTTTATTCCTAAAAATTGGGACAGATTGGGTAAAAAATGAAAAGAGCTATTTAAATGTAAATTACTATTATGAAGGGTAACTTCCACTCACCAAATAATGTAAATATTTAAAATATCTCAGGCAGTTAGCACTTAATAATAACAAAAATCCTTATCAGAATAGCATTCTTCTTTTGAAGTGGGGAAGAATAACAACTGGTCATTCTGTTCTACAGTAGCAAGTCAAAGCTTGTTATCAGGAATGATACAAACTATTATTAAAACATCTTCCTGGACTAGGAGCCTGGCGGAGCCGGCGGCAGAGTGGTCCGGCTGCGCGGCGGCCGAGGGCGCCCGGGCGGCGGGGTGAGCAGTGCAGCCTCGGCCTCCCCGACTAGTGGTGCCGGCGCGGCTTCCGTCAGGGTCAGGAGAGGATTCAAGATGACCAACGAAGAACCTCTTCCCAAAAAGGTTCGACTGAGTGAAACAGACTTCAAAGTTATGCTAAGAGATGAGTTAATTCTAAGATGGAAACAATATGAAGCATATGTACAAGCAAGCTCTGGAGGACAAGTACAGGGATCTTAACTCTAATGACGTAACTGGCCTAAGAGAGTCTGAAGAAAAACTAAAGCAACAGCAGCAGGAGTCTGCACGCAGGAAAAACAACCTTAAAATGCAACCACCAACCAAGGAACAAGAGATGCAAGAGTGTACTACTCAAATCCAGTACCTCAAGCAAGTCCAGCAGCCGAGCGTTGCCCAACTGAGATCAGCAATTGCAGACCCAGCGATCAACTTGTTTTTCCTAAAAATGAAAGGTGAGCTGGAACAGACTAAAGACAAACTGGAACAAGCCCAAAATGAACTGAGTGCCTGGAAGTTTATACCTGATAGGTAAACAAATCATACTCCCCAGTCAAGACTTCCCTGACAGTCCCACTATGAGAAAGCTGTGGTGGGACAGCCAAGTACTGGTTTCCACACCAAGACTCAGACTTTTTGAGCCAAAGAAAAAAAAAAGCCACATTCTTACACTGTCCAGCTTGTAATAGTTAATGTAAAACTTACCAGATGAACCTTGTGTTTCGGCTTTTTCTCTTCCCCTTCCCCTTGCTTCAGACGCCTGATGGCGATGGTCTATTCCGAAGAGTGGCCACCTCCGAAAAACTCCCTTTCAAGAACATGTAGACACTTGGGAAATGTTTCTGTTTAAAGAAAATAGAGGGAGAAACAGAAGTCTTAAGTCTGTGGCACACTGTGTCTTCAGACAGTTTGAAGGAATGAAAACCTAGAGATTTTGTCATGAATTGAACATGTAAAATTCCCGTAAAATGTAAAAATGGAATATGCATCACTCTTAACCTTGAGCACAGTGACTTAGAGACACTGTGTATCGGTTTTGCCAATAAGACTGTGGACTTCACGATTGTTGTTGAACTTCTGGGCCAAAACTCAAATGAGGTGAATTTTGCCTTTAAAGGTTTTATTTGCTGAAAACCAACTTTCAATAGTTATGAGAGAATCAAATGATAGATGTCCATATAAGCAGTGCATATATTTAACCATTTAGCTTGGGGATCTATATTACTTGCTTGAGCCTTAAATCAATGTGGTTTTATTCAATGGTTTGTTCTTTGAATGGCTGCAAAAACTGTAGATAATCTTACTGAGGACTGTACAAACATGAAGGTGTGGTATCAAACTTCAGGTTTAAACTGTTTGAAGCGTTATAAACATTCATTTCACAGCTAGATTGTATAAGGATATTAGCTGTGATGAGACTCACTGCATTATTTTTTTAGTGAATTTTATGAAATCCCCCTTCCATTTAACAGGCACATGTTTAAAAGAGCATTGTCGTTGGTGTTAATGGGGGAATGTGTTCCTTCATTGTATTTGGGCCTTTTGTATTGCACTCTTGATATTAAATTAAATGTGCCTTGAAATAAATTTAAAAAACCATTATCTTCCTTAATGTGTATTTCATTAATTTATCAATGTTAGCATTCTGTAAAGCAAAATAGAAGTTATATATACCAATTATTTAAATCACATTTATAAATACCAGTTATTTAAAGCATATTTAGCACTTAATATATATGCCAAAGTACTCTTTTCTTAAGAGGTATAGTTTAATAGAACTAGCTACATGGTGGTAGACAATAGTTAAGTATACAGTGTTAAACATGACTTATTTTATCCTTCCTTTTTTTTTTGTAAGGACAGTCATTTTGAAGATATTACTTCATAGCATATATTTAAGTCTGAAGAACTTTTCAACTTTATTTGCTCCCAGCATTAGCTCTTTGATATGAAGGTGGCAAGAACTGCCAGCTTTTCCAATTTAAAATATTGCCACAATTTTAATATTAAATGAACAATATTGAGGCAATTTATTTTGTAGCAACCTGAACTAATGCGAGACAGAAATAATACAGGGTGGCTGCAGGAGAATAGAAAATTCCAGGCAGCAGTTTCACAGCAGTTTCACATGACTAGCAAAAGGAAACTGTTGAAATACCTGCAGAAGCTAGGGGCTTACAAGATCCCAAAAACCAGAATGTAGATCAAGCTGGCTAAGACCCGGCTGGACCCAACATGGTGCTAGATTTGACCTAAGTTTCACTTAGGACTTTATTATATGCCTACTAACATGCTAAATCACCCACCAGCGCCATGACAGTTCCAGGGACACCTGTATTTGGTATAATAATGGTTGACACAACAGTTCTGAGAAATCTCTACCTTTTTCTAGGAATCTTCATGAATATTCCATCCCTTAAAGAAAACCCTAAAGGTAGCCCCCTCAAAACCCCTTGCACATGACTCTCACATGTATGCCTGCAACTCACCTTTCTTAAGTGTGTATTTTTTGCTTTGCAGTAAATGTTCATACTTTCACTACTTTCTGACTCATCATTGAATTCCTTCTTACCATGTTGTCAAAAGCCTGGACACTGGCCAGGGTTGAGGTCCCACCAGCGTTTCAGGACCTCACCTATCCCGTCAGTATCAAATGGACACCCTGTTTATTTAACCTACAACAAATAACTATAAAGTCTATAAATGATATTATATTATTGACACCATGGATTTTGTGGAGTATCTCAGTTTCAGAAATACTTTTTTTGTACAACCTCAGTCTGATTTATATGTCTGTTTTAAGGCCACTGCCTTTTGCCTCACTCCTTTTCCATTCATTCATTCATTCATTCATCAGCTATTGACTATGTGCTAGGCCCTGAGTATACAAAGAACAATATTTGAGCTAACACTTGAAGAATAAGTTGGGTTGTATCTGTGCTTGGTTCCTGCCCCCGTGGAGTTTTACATCCTAGTGGGAGAGACAGACAGTAAATAAGTAAAATATATCAACAAAGAAGATAATTACAGTTTGTTATATATGTTATGACCAGGAACTCTTTGTTACAAGGACATTTAAGCTGAGAGCTGAAGGCTGAACAAGAGCCTTGAATTCTCTGCAAAGAGGAACTCTCGTGCAAAGTCCCTGAGCAGGAAATGCTTTGGCAGGTTTGGGAAACAAAAAGGCGACCAGCATAGTGGGAGGTCACCTTTTTGTTTTGGGGAGAGTGGTATGATGTGAACGCTATAATCTGAATATTTGTGTCCACTGGGCCCCACCATATGTTGAAATCCTAACTCCCAGAATGATGGTATTAAGATCTGAGACCTTTGAATAGGATTAGTGCCCTTACAAAGGAGGCCCAAGAGAGGTAGGTCTCTTGTCCCACCTACCATGTGAGGATACAGTCAGCAGGTGCCATCTATGAACCAGAAAGTGGGCCTTCACCAGACACCAAATCTACTGCCACCTTGATATTGGACTGCCTGGCCTCCAGAACTGTAATAAATAAATTTCTGTTGTTTATATGCCACCAGTTTACGGTATCTTGTTCTAGCAGCTGGAACAGACTAAGACAGTGAAGATATAAAGGCAGGTAAAAGCCACATCATGCAGCTCTTGTAGGCTGAGGAAGGGATTTTGGAATGAATTCTATAAGCAATAAGACCCTGAAGGGCTTAAGAAGCAGAGAGTTGGGGGTGTGAAGGGGAGAAATGTTCAGGATCAAGTGCGTCACATGAGAAAATGTGGAGATATGAAAACGCACGGCTGCGTGTGGTGGCTCACACCTATAATCCCAGCACTTTGGAAGACCAAGGCAGGAGGATCACTTGAGCCAGAAGTTTGAGACCACCCTGGGCAATATAGTGAGACCTCATGTTACAAAAAATAGGAAAAGCTGGGCATGGTGGCTCACGCCTATAATACCAGCACTTTGGGAGGCTGAGGCAGGTGGATCACAAGTCAGGAGTTCAAGACCAGCCTGGCCAATACAGTGAAACCCTGTTTCTACTAAAAATACAAAAATTAGCCCAGCATGGTGGCACATGCCTGTAGTCCCAGCTACTTGGAAAGCTGAGGCAGGACAATTGCTTGAACCCGGGAGGTGGAGGTTGCAGTGAGCCAAGATCACACCACTGCACTCCAGCCTGGGTGACAGAGAGAGACTCCATCTCAAAAAAAGGAAAAGAAATTAGCCACACATGGTGACACACAACTGTAGCCTTCCTACTGATGAGGCTGAGATAAGAGGATTGCTTGAGGCCAAGGTTAAGGTTGCAGTGAGCCAAGATCACACCACTGAACTCCAGCCTGGGTGACAGAGCAAGACCCTATTTCTAAAAAGAGAAAGAAATAAAAAGTATGGTAAATTGATAAAACTTAGGAAGAAGCTCCTCATTTAGAATTTAGAATGGAAATAGATATGATAACTAACTTGAGAAGTTTTCTGCACTGAAAATTTGTCACTATTCAAAAGTTAAATGACAGCCCCTAAAGTCCAAAGCTTTAGAACATTTCACTATGCCAATGAAATCAAGCCCATGTTTTCTAAATGGATTTATCATGCTCTGAGGACACATTAAATGAACCAAGTGAGCAACTTTGACCCATTGCTTGTCTTTCAAAGGACACAGAACAGTATCATTTCCTCCTTCCTTTTCTCTCACTATAGGTAATCAGAAATCATTGGTGATTCTTATTTTTATTTATTCAGAAATCACTGCCTCTCTAAAGGGTACAGGGAGATCATTTACGGTGAAAGTGTCCATTTCCATGTATAAAAATTACATTAACAAGATGGAATGTTATATTACTAGAATCTCTGTGTTTGGACAGAAATCCATTGTGAGTTTCTAAAAAAACCTTTCATTAAATTATGAGTTCAATTTCAGCCTTTACATTTCTTGCTTATGTTGATGGCTATCTTCTCCATGCCTTCCCAAAGGGAGATTTCTGGCCGGCTCTTCCATTGATAAGCTTTCCAGTTATAACTCATCTTCCTGATCCCTTTTTGCCTTTCTGTCTTGGCCTGTAATTGACCTCATTCACACATTTTCTTTAGCACACCAAATACTCTGTGTTTCTCCAGCAGTAGTTCTGGAATGTTTACACGGAGAATTAGTTTATAGTTTGGATTATTCATTTGTTAACGTAATGATATGTAATGAAATCTTTGCTTTCCTTCAGCCTTGACAGGTCTTGGCAATAACTGCTACTTACTTCATTGTGATTTCCATTTGGGGAAAAAGCACTCACTCCTCTTTCACACACCACCTCACTGCAGTCATTTCCCTAAATGGGATGTTAAACCTCTTCTCCCTCTTTCAAATCTTACCTAGAAGTTGACCCCACGTTCATGTTGAAGCAGATTCCTTGTTATTCCCAAGCACACCGTGTTCTTTCCCATTTCTCTGCCTTTGTTCATGCTGTTCCACAAGGGTGGATGCCTTCCCACTCATCTCTACCAGCCAACAGTTGGGTCCTGCCTCCTTCACCAAATCTTTGTGGAACCCTTTAATCAAAAGTCTTTGTTTGACTACTCAGTGAGCATTTTTCCTAAGGCTATGAAATGACCTGATCAGATTTTCCGAAGACAACAGCTAGAACTCAAGATTCAGTAAACAAAGGGATAAGCCTGTGGCTAAAGTTGGGGGGTTAAAGAGCTGGGTATTTTGGGAATGAATAAGATATAGAAGGAAAGCTTTAGCTTTCAAATCAGATTTTTTTTTTCACGTGAATTCTAAAAGTCAGTTACCAGTTCTGTGACCCTGGATGAGTTACTCTCCCTCCCTGAGCCTTAGGTTTCTCATATGTGAAGTTGAGATAGCAAGTCCTATTTCT